AAGACAATCCAAAGACAGCTGGTAAGGCAGGCATCGGGATGATGAGCTGAAAAACAGCAGCGATGCAAATGACTCATAATGGATGCAGGTGTTTAGTGAAAGGTGTTCAAACTGCAACCGAATACATGCAAAGTCCTTAGAAAGGATTTTACAGAAGGAAGTTCATTTTATTCCAAGAATAAAATGAGATTTGCGTGATGAAAGCAGGCAGTGTAGGGCATGCCTTAAATTCTGTACAAACACTGACAGTAAATGCAAATACCAAGTCATGCAGGAGCATCACAAGCACAGAAGAGACATTGATACTAACCTCCCCTATAGCTCTCTTGTAACTCTGCACATTTAAGGTAAAGTTAAAAAATAGGGATTTAGAAAGAAAGAAAGAAAAGGAGCAGCATGAGGCGATATATCAGTACTGGCTCAGGAGTAAAGTTGAAGTGAGAAGAAAACCTCGAGTTAGTTTTCCATGAATTCATTTACAGAACAGGTGCATTTAATTTAAAACTAAGCGTAAGCACAGCGTGTTAGTGTGTTTTTTTATTTTACAGATGCTTGTCTGTGGCGAGCACCCCTTTGAGTTCTGTTAAAGCTGGCTTTACAAGTAGGCACAGTGAGGAAACAGCCACTCACAGCAGGACGCCCAGGCCGGGAGGAGGTTCGAGATTCTCCTGGCTTGTGACGAGGATCGTGGGAGAGAATGGGCGAATCCATTTTGGAGGAACCTGAAAATAACAACGTCACAGAGAGTAGTTATGCTTCTGAAAATACGCTTACTGCAAACGCAGTCTGCTGAGAAATGGCACTGGGGAGATGGGAACTCACTGAGGATGCGATGCCTCTCTAAACTGCCCGTCTGGGGAAGATTGGATATGATGCTCATGCTGTCTCCTCTCTCCCAGCGATCATTGCGACTGAGATCTGGATTGCTGCCATGAGGTTACAGTGAGGATAAAAATCAATTAAATCAAGTTGTCATAGATATTTATCCTATTAAAAAGGCACCAAAATTAAAGGAATCTCAGATCAAAGCATGTGTTCAGTACCTGGCTCTTACTGGGTGCCTTATACCAGAGGTTAGGTTTGTGTTGAGAGCTGTGGCGATAGACGCCGTCCTCTGTGGAATCTAAGAAAAACAATGGCAAAGTCTTACATTTTCCAGGCAGCAACAACTTTCATGAAGACTGTGTCTTGTAGACCAACCACTCGAAGACGCACAACAGCTTTTATCATGCAAATTTATTCCTAGTTGGTCGAGTCTTCCCTAGATGTAAGCAAATGAGCTCAACGTACTACCAGCAGCTTCTCTATGAGGTACGCATTTAATGTCTCATTAATAGCTGCAGCTCAGTGAACAGTTGAGGTAACAAAAAAGTTCAAACTTAGGTTGGACGCCGACTACAGAGTCCAAAGCAGCTGCTGAATCTTACCTTGGGTGGAAGCTCTACATCTGGCAGGCGGATCCATGGGCCACGATCCTCTCTGATTTGGTGTGCCTGTGGTGCCTGGGTTTCAGAAGTGGGGTCTGAATTCTGACGCACCAGCTCTCTGGAGTGGATAGGGCGGGGTGTGGGGGTCAGGGAAGGATCCTGGGTAGGGAAGGCGGACATGGTCTTAGTGGGCTGGTCACAGAGTGACTGAGAGCGAGGGACAGGGGCAGCATAAGGCTTCAGAGGAACCAAGTGAGCCATCTGGAACTGCAGGGGACAGGAGCAGCAGCAGCACACCGGGAGGGAAGCGCAGCAGTGGAAAGAAGAGCGAAAAAGGAAGGCAGGCGCAGGGAGGGTGAATGGTCGCATTTGTAGTTCAAGGTGATTTTGAGAGGGAAAAGAAGAAAAAGAAGGCATAAATAAGATAAGAAAAAATTAAGTTGAAGGCAGCAGAGGAATAAGAAGTAGGAAGGTATAAAGCAATTGTATCAGCTCCAATTAAGGGCAGATTATTATTTCAAACTCTCAGAAACACCCACCTTGCCCTGCCCTCCTTGGGGTTCAACAGGCCTTTGCATCGGTGGGGTCTGCGCGGACTGGACCGCTCCTGACTGGCTGATTGAGTCAGAGCGTGACTGGATGGCAGTGTCGGAGACAGTAGTGCAGATTTTGGGTGAGCCCTGTCTGTTGAGCTTACTTCTCTCCTCCACCTGAAATAAGGCGTGCGAGAGGAGAATTTACTCTGTAGCGTTCGCTGCTTTTACTGTCTAATGATTAAAATGCCAGAATGCTGGTACCTCGCGGGCCCAAGTCGGTTTGTTGTTGGGCTCCAGGTTTTTGTTGTAGTGGTAAAGCTGGGGTTTCTTGTCTTGCTGCTGTTGTTGCAGGGACACCAGGTAGGCATGTTCCTGTTGCAGCTGTCTCTGCAGCCGCTCGGACTGACGCTGTTCCTCGAGCTGTTTGCGTTTATATTCCTGAGCAGAGAGAAACGCTGCACTTAAGACATTGCTTGCCTCAGACTGGACACAAAAGCACAAGTCAAATCTGCAGATTACAGCAGATGCAATGATAATACACCGGACCTGATTTCAACCAGAGACAACACATGTTTAGGGCTTTAACATATCCAAGTGCTCCTATTTCAGTCAATTACCAGCCCACATGAAAATAATATTGATCATGTCTGTAGCTAAATGCTTTTGTGCCGTATGTTAGACAGTGCAAAAATGAGTCATCTGACTTATTGGTTTTTCATTGCGTTGTAGGCATGGGTCTCTAACCCTTTTGATGGCCAGTGCATTCAGAAGAAAACATGAAATAACAGAGAAGTCAAAGCTTTGGAGGTTAAAATGAGACTTTCTACCATGAGTCACCACAACATAGGCTAAACTTCACAGTTTTCTTTCAACCGAGAGTGAGTAACGGAGTCCTTACAGGCAACGGAGCACTAGATTTACAGGCCAGCTGATGCTGTATTGAGTTAGAGCAGTTTTAACCATAATTTTCTTTCGTCAAGCGAATATATATACACTACAGGCCAAGAGGCCTTTTAAAAAATTAAGACAGGGACGAATTTACAGCTTTCTTGCAGCAGTTGAAGAAAATAAAGCCTTCTAAAGGTAATGCAAACAACCTCGTTGTTTACACGTCTTATGTAGAAGTTTGCACAGAGAAATGAATTGTATTATATTATAACAATCCTGTTATAAGAAAAAAAATACTGCCTATATGAAATATTTGTTCAGGAGTTTATCACATAACAAGATAAGGAACCAAAACATCAGAATAAAGGAATTAAACATTCGCAAACTGGCAACGTTTTCAGAATCAGCTTGTTTTGGATGACGTGGACAGCAGGCGGTTTCTCTGATTATGTATAGTTGGGAGTGTAATATTTCTCTACATTGATTACTCAAACTGTACTGATCTTCATCTAGGAGATGATTATAGGAAAACGGAGAAAGAACAGAATTTTGTGTTTTTGGCAGTGAAGTTGCAGAGCGCCCTCTGGAGGTCAAATTATGCACATCAACAGTTACAACAAGGCTGAACGGTGTTTCTTTCATCTCTTCTTTGCTTTGTTTCATTTATTAGCTGTTCTGAAAGCCACTTTTTGACAAAAAGTCTGTATTTATGAGAAAAGGCCAAAACCAAAAACCTCATCCCACCTGTGAGGCATAATTTGAATGTTTGAAAAGAATAAAATTCCTTAAAAGTCCTGATCTTAACCCTGCGGAGGTATTTGCCGCAGGGTTAATGTTGAATAAACCTTTTTTAAACATATTGATGAAACTTTTTTAAACATATTGATGAAACAAAAATTGCTTTGTAGGAGGTTTGGTCCCAAGTTCATTTTCTTGACTGGTTCAATCTAAAGCAGCAACAGAAACAATCTGATGAAGGCTGCTGTTGCTAAAGGAGCCTCTACAATTCACTGAGTTCACTTCTTCCTTCCTGATCACTCAGCGCTTTCATGAAAACTTGTACAATTGTGACCGTTTGTGCATTATCACTTTAGTCAGAATATGTTCGTCAATAATTGCATCAACGATCAGACCACATTTTGAATCAACTTTGAAATGTCAAATTCAAAAGGATTCAGTGTTGTTCACATCCGTGTAGCTGTCGATGGGAATACCTTCTTACAATGTAATCTGGCTGACTGGAAACACCCTGCAGCTGTCACAGATTTCAAGAAGTTGGGGTTATGATCTTGTGACTAATGGTTTTGGACAGTTTTTCACAACTTTTTTTTAAGGCACTACAGAAACATTCCTACTGGGTTAATGTTCCACCTAGACTTAATTTAAAATAGCAAGAGAGGAATGCTGCTCACTACTTGCCGATGTACTCCAATTGTGAGCTGGAGGTAGGCTTACATTTACTGAACAAACTGGATGTATTAGAAGTGAATACTGTGATCCATAGAAATTTGGCCTACAAGGCCCATACACCTGAATATTTTGTCTCACTGCACTGTAGGGCAATTACGTGCTGCACACACATAAGCGCCCCTTTTATGCCAAACCCAGAGGAAGGATAGCGCACTTGTTTTCAGCCTTGTGCTCTGGTTCCCTGTGAAGACCTACATACCCACAGGAGTTCTGTGCGAGACACGAGAAAGCATTTGAAATTCCCTGATGCCTAAAGTAAATAGGATAGGATTATTTTTCCCACTCTACAAAACAGAAACAAAGGCTTCAGTCTTGATGACAGCAACTCCTACGCTCCACAGGTGCGCGCAGAAACAAAGACGCCACGAGTGCAGCAATTCTACCCTTCAGTGTGCGCAAGATATCATTATACAATGAAAACTGCCCCTAAAATCTAGGTCACCGCATGTCTTTTAAATAACACGGAATATTGTGGGAGCTACATCCATATTCTGGAAAATGAACCCCTTATTTACATCAAGGTGCTCCACATGTAGAATCTTACAAACTCAAGCTGAGCTTTTATATTCTGATTGAGAAAGAAAACAAAAAAACAAAAAAAACATCTCATCTCTGACTTTTATTCCATTTAAAATGCATTTAACTCAAACGCAAGCAGGCTTGCAACACTGCAGTGTTTGGTTTGGAAAAAAGATCAGCTGCCCTCCTTTTCAGACAATATATTATAACCGGGAGATGAATGTGCAAGTCTCCGCAGTTTGAAGAGGAAATGATTAAGGAGTAATAAGGACTAGTTACCATTAACAGCGCTTGCTCCTGAAGCAACTGCTGTTGGAGGATTTCTAACTGCCGCTGCTCCTCTTCTAACTTATGCCTGATAAACTCCTGAGGAAAGGTAACAAGGGAGGAAAGATAAACATTGAGGTGATGAAGGAGGAATGAGAGCATGATTGGGGGAGGGGAAAGACCATAGAAGCAGAGTTATGTAATGTCAATCCAGTAACAGAAACCATGTGTTGCATGGATTAAAATCAACAATTTTAGTCTCAAAACAGTCACCACCCATGTTAAGAAGCTGCAACAGAGACTAATCATATGACCATTAAAACATACTGTCAGCACTAAACAGAGACCGTGAGAAGTGTCTAGATTTTAAATGAATGTCAGTGAATGTAAATATTTTTCAGGACACTGTGACTGATCTAAGGCACCAGACTGATATTTTAAAAAGGGGGTATTTGGCACTAAAAGGTGACTGTGCCATGATGCCAGACTCTTGTTTTACTGGGTAGACTGGAAACAGCATAAGAGGCGCAGAGAGCTCACCCACAGAAAACTCATCTCTGAGTAAATACACTAATTTAGACCCTTGCTGCTATGGCAACCTACTCCTGGAATTTCACCACCAGAGCAACCTGCGCAGTGTTGCCGCTGGACACGCCTACACTTCGCTCCGATTGGCCGACTGCGATCCCACTCCTCCTGTGGTTGGTTACCTGCTCCCTCTCTGCCAGCCTCCTATCTTCCTCCCGTCTCATATCGTCAAGTCTCCGATGGGGACCCTTTTCTTGCTGCCTCACCATCTCTCCCTGTTTTCTCTGTTGCTGGGAGAGAAGGGTGACAGGAAAAAGAGTAATGAGCACAGAGGATGTGGCTGCACAGAGAAATTAGCCTACTGTTAAGGAAATTCTCCCCTGCAAAGATATGAGGAGGGGGGGTGAGAGCTGCAGAAGTACAGGGCAGAGAAAGGAAGCTGTGAGTCATTCTCACAAACACACACCTAATGCATCCTAATCATCTTTTCAGTGTACTGCTTTGATTCAAACATGAAGTGACAGTTTTTCACTTTTGACTGGGGGCGCTTTTTATCTGCCTTTTTCTAAACAGAGACTGAAACACAAAGATTTGTTCTTTGTGGGGAAACGAGAGCCCCCGCGACTTGGCAGCGCCACTAAAACACACTCGTACGCTCAGTCATCGCTGACACTTTAGCGGTGGACAAAAGAAGTAAATAAGCTAGACAAGGAGGTGAAGGTTCATTCATTAGAGCGCACCCTCGCTGTAGTTATAACCCTTTACCAATGTTGCACAACGATTACAGCAACAACAGCAGTGTAGGTGCGCTAACACGTGCCTCCATCAAATCCTACTGAACTCCCCAGAGATTTCACAGCTCGCAGTCCCCCCCCACCCCATCTCTAATTCACTGGGTTACGCAGGCATGTCTTTCAAAGTATTTAGCAACATGCTCAGCCTTTTCGTTAATAATGTCTAACATAACATCCTGTCAAATCCTGACTGTGTGTCAGCTTCAAAGGAAGTTCAGATGCCGTGCAACAAAGACAACATTTTCATACAATTTATTGTCTGTAAGCTTTGAAGGGGTGGATATATCAACACTATGTCAGCTACTGTTAGAAGTACAATGCCGTACTTCTAAAAATATACAATGTTAAGTGAAAGACTGTTCAGGGCCGAAACATTGTGAATGAAGGTACTGAAAGAAAATAAAATGCATAAGAGTATTTCATTTCCAGTGATTCAGATCTGGAAATGTGTGGTCATTAATATTTTTTTGCTCTACTGTAAAAAATCCATTCATTCATCCTCTTCCACTCATCACACATAAATGGTTTTCTTACATTATTAAATAACACAAGCGGCCCCCGGTGCTGAGGTAAGGTTAGTGTAGAGCACTCGATCTTGGGTCACTATCACTAATGTAATTGAGCAATCATCGATTCTCAAATTGAGAAGAAAAAAACATAATGACAATACATTTTGTAAACTCCATCACTTCAGAATACCTTGTTCTAGTCTACAAGGTGACCTGAGCTCAGTTCAGTACTTATAACTAGTTATTTAGTCATGCAGGTTGTGAAATCGAGACAGACAGGTGAGTGTACTGATGTGTCTGTCTCACTGGCCAATTTCGACATCTAAACTATTTAAACATTGTTACTCTTGCATGTGCTTTTGTAAGTCATGCCAGTTACACGGAACAAAAAGGTTAGCTCAGACAGCGTGAGGAAGTAAATCTAAAATGTTTTGCCACTGCCGAAAGCAAACAAACATACTGAAATCAAGCTCAGAGCAAGAAAAGGACCAAACAGAGATAGTTATGTGGCTAAAAGAGAAGGACAAGTACGGACAGACAATGAACTACATAGCTTCACTGCTTGAATTAAGATGTGCTGTCATATTGCATAATGTTTTAGTATCATGAGCTGGTAGTAAAACGTGCACATTTCTAATGATCTAAGATCAAGAGTGGAGGCAACTCAAAGTAAGATGCTCTTGTTCCATCTCGAACAAAACGTGTTTGCATTTTATAAATATTATCACCATAATTAATCAAAACTAACAACTCAAATCTGATGATAAGCAGCAAAGCGGTTGTGCAAATGTGGGGTAAACACAATATTAATATCTCAGAAAAGAATGAGCACTTGTAAAAACACGGGCCTCCTTATCAGTGTTTCCTCGTTCTTATTTAAGGTGGAATCCATTTCAAAGTTCAATTCTCAATCACAGGAAATGATTCTTGTCTCAACTGACTGTTTCAAAATGACTGCTTTATTCACTTTAGAAGGCCGTCTTCCTAAAAGAGTGGCGTGCACGAATAAATAAGCTACGAAAAGATAAACATTAATCAAGCTGTGCTATGCAGGAATTCCTGTTATTCCGACTAGTTTTACAAAAACGGCAAAACAGTGAACCCAGATCCAGCAGCCCCCAGTGACAGCTGGGCGAAAATGCCCACCTGCTCTTTTGCTGTAAGACTCATGTTTGTGGGATAAGCATGAAGCTTAAGCTACTAATTAACCAGATTAGCATAATGACTGGCAAATGCTCAAAAACACACCTACCAGGGATTCTGAATGTGCTGTAGCATCTCCTTTGTCTAATCTATACAAAACCTAAAGTGTAGGAGTGACAGCAAGCAGTTTCTTTGACTTCATTGGGGTATTTCATTTGATCGTGTTTGTATTTTTTTCTTCAAGTTTTGTTATAGGTTATATTTAATTATTTTTAATGATTTGGCAGCTATGACACAATAATTTCCCAACTTCTGAAACAGATAAAGTCTCAGCTTATTTTAGGGGCAGGTCTGAGCTGTAACTAACCCTCTACAGTCACACGGAGGTACAAGAGCAAATGTTTCACTGTGTAGAGATCTTTTTTTTTTTTTAGAGAGGTCAGGCTTTCTTTCCATATGCTAAGTTATGCCAACCTTCTTGTTTTGACACCCAGATTAGCACAGAGATGAGATGGGTATCATTCCAATTCCCACCAACGAAACGAATGAGCATATATCTGTTAATGTTAGAGTGTTCCTTTAAAAAGGTTGAATTTTACCTCTTCAAGTCTGCGACGCTGTTCCTTCTGTTCTTCGATGCGTTTCTGTCGGTCATGCAACAGTTGCCTCTTGTGCTCCTCGGGGTCCCGGCGCTGAGCTGCCAGTTGGGCCTGCTGCCTCTTGTGAGCCTCCGAGCGCTCTTTGTTCTCCTGCTGCAGACGCTGGAAGTCCCGCCGCAAGGTGGACTCACCCGGCACATTGAGGATTGAACTGAAGACCAAAAATCAAGATATGAGTGAAAAGAGGAACTCAAACAAGTCAAAAACTGTCCTGTGACAGAAATGCTAAAATTACCTTGACTCTCTGTCATCTCCACGATTGTCCTCCTCTTCATCACTACCACTGTACTCGTACTCTGTTTCTTCTGTAAGGAAAAATTTATTCAAGTCACTCTAATGTGAATTTTTTTGCTGACTGTCTGTGAACGCTCTACAAAGCTGGTGCTACACTTGCTTACCCTTCTCTCCTCTTTTTTTGCGTGTACGGTCAATATGGTCTTTGAGTTGAATTCGGACCTGGCGTTCGGTGGGCTGATCCCTGATGAAGGAATGCTTGAGCAGCTGCTCCGTGGATGGCCGGCTGGGATATGTCTTTACAAGGCAGCTCTCTATAAAGTCAATAAATTTCTTGGACCTGGCAGGACGAGGAAGGTTAGAAGATAAGAAAACTTGAGCGGGAGGCAAGCTGATAGTTGGACAAGTACTGCACAGAATACAGATTCAACAACAGTGAGAAATTCAAGAGGATCTTTTCACATATAGCGGGGTAGGAATAATCTTTATCAGTATTTGAGAAATAAAAGACCTTTTTAGAAATGTTCCTCTGTTAGTCAAATGTGAACTAAGCTGTTAAGTTTTGCGGTTAATGCTAGCACCATTGTGTGACTATTGCCTTTTCAAAAATTACTTTCACTGATGGGGGGGGTAGTTGCTGTGATTAACCAGTTTTAAAAAAAGGACATAAACAAACAATGTGATTAACGAATGTTTGTTTCATTAAAATAGGACCATAAACCACATGATCACTGTTAAATAATGCAATGCAGCACAGTATAGTAACTGTGTAATTACTGGTATGTGCATCAGGTCATTAATGTCCATTGTATTCAACTGATCATGTACCTGGCTTTTTTTTTTCTTTTTTTTTTTTAAACACTCATGTATTGGTAGAACATTGACAGCAGCTTTTTTTCCATGACAATTATAACAACTGTGGAAGAAACATTGCATTTTTAATCCTGTGTGAGCATAAGTAGATCCACTACTGAGTGGGTCCATTAACGACTAGCAGGAAAAGTAGCGGGTAGGGGAAAACAAGACAAATTAGTTTAAATGCTTGCAAGCAATCAAATCTGGCTCATAAGGAGAACAAGTGCGCGACCTTTAATGCTTTGAAATCTGAGGGAGATTCAGCTATTGCAAATGCACCCAATTTATCTTGATGCACAAGACTTTGGAAACTAGACACCGTGCTTCAATTTCTTGTACCATCCACTCGTTTCCATTCACATACAGCAGTAACCTGATACGCAAAGTGACTACACTACTACATCACATGTAAACCGTGCCCTCCTGCACTGACCCACTTTTTTTGGCATCACAATAGACTACGCTTATTTGTTGACTGTAGTTCATAAATTATTGAATTATTATTTCAATTTAATGCAAAGTGATAACAATTACAAAGCCTGCAGTGAGGCAGTATGCTACCAGTTTATTATACAGTAGGAAATATGCTAGAACATTGTTTATTGAATGCACAATCCAACACACGCTAAGACAAAAAAAAAAAAGGCTTTTCAAACACTTTGATATAAGGCACTGGTAAGGCTGATAACTCACCACTTCTTCGATTTAAGTTTTGGAGGGGGGTTCCTGGGGATCAGGAAGAGGGCTCTCATTGGGTGCATGTCACACAAGGCTAAAGAAATTAAGGAGATTACTGGGGTTAAATCTTTCCGTCCATGCTGTGAGTCGATTTACAAAACAAAGAGCACATCAGAATGAGGGTAATGTTAGAGTATCATCCATTTCCACATGTGGCAGTTTGTGAATAACACATGCCACCATTATACATGTTTTCTGCATCCTCAAACATGGTTACAGCTGCTGTTATCCAATCGTTCCCAGTGCCTCAGGCTTATTGTTACACTGAATGTAAGAACAAGGACTGTGAGTCATTGTGTTCCCAGCGTAGGTAGGTAGCTAAACCTGACTGGTTAGCTTTAGACTTTCACAGTAAATAGGCTTTTGTAACACAGTCTTTAGGACATATCCAACGTGACTGAGGCAGGAAAGAGGACATTTTCATTTCAGCATTTTAAAGTATGCACAAACCACAGGAATCACAGTGAGAAGATGCTCCATATAACATGCACTAAAGAAATGGCTCACCCACTGACACGATGTTGGCAATTTTCTAAAAATCCCAGGACTAGAAATTATTTTGTGCAAACGGTTACCTGCCGCTGTCCCTTTCGGTGTTTTACTACAGACAGTCCAAAAGCTCAACACTCAAACAATTACCTTTAGGAGGTAAAAAAGAAAAAGAAGCTAAAGATGAGCAAGGAGTGAGCATACTGTGCAACCAATGCTTTGATTCACCCTGCAAGGATCGTGAGCACATTACTAGAACCGGCACAATAAAGCTATCCCAGTGAAACTGTGACAAATATCATACAGAATCCTCGCCAACCCTGCTGATGATGGATGAATTCCCAGTAAATTTAGGTCATGTGATCAGTACAGAAATAAAAATACCAAGTGCAGATATTTAACTACTACTGTGACTATTTAACCTAATTAAGAATAATGTTTACTTGGAAGAATATTGATTACGGTAATAAAGAGCAAATTCAACATTCAGAACTAATAACTGACTATAATGCCCATCATGTTGTTATAGAATATAACAAAGAGAGCCAAGGCCAGTGTGGGCTTTAGCATAGTTATTATGCTTTTATTACACTTTTAAGCAGGTGTTAACAGATTCATAAAACCTGTCTTGCATTTAGGATTGGCAATATTATATTTAAAAAATATATATATATATTAAATTGACACCAATTATACTAATCAATACTCAAAATTACTATTACATACTCATTTGTATTGCTATAAATAGTGCCATCGTTGCCTCCTCCAGTCGACACAAAACTTCACACAGCACTGCTGCAGACAGGCAGGCACACAGCCCCTCCTCTCACTAACAGCTAAAGCAGCTGACGCTCACAGCACCAAACAACATTTCAGGAGGAATATCGAGTGGTCGGGAAAGGTCCCGTTTCAACAACACTGAAGTTTTAAACAGTTATAATTGTTAACCTACTTAATCTCTATTTGATATACAGTTATGTTGTTCCTGTATTTTTTTTTACACTATAGCAGACAACTTAATCACTGTGTTATTGATCTTATCATTTGCATTTTTTTAACCTCCATTAAAAGAAATGCTTCTTTTTTGGACTTGTGGTTTTGAAATTTGCATCAAGTATCTGTATGCATTTTTCTGGGTATCAGTACTGAGTTTGAAATTCTAGTATTTTGACAATATACACTAACTATACATATAAAATAAAAATCAACTGACAAATGGTTTCAGCATTACTATCAAAAGCAACCATTTTTAAAAATAGAGGCTAGCTGATCGCTTTATTAGTGGCAACCAAACTTCAGTTATCAGCCTGATACAGTCAGTACATGCTGCATAATTTATCACGGTACAACACTAGCTTGACAGTTGGTCTGTGTGCCGCGTGTCATTCACAGCAGCAACATCATGATCTGCAGGAGCTTTCTGAACTTTCAGAATGGTCTAAAGGGACAGCAGTGGCTCTACTCTGAAAATATGAATTTTGTTCATCTCAAAGAAGGAACTACTGCACTCGTTGTGATGTCAACGTTTCACTAAAGGGTTCAAGTTTACACACCAGTTTTCTGTAGGCTTCATACTGAATGGTGTCACAAAACCACACCAGCCAGTGAATGACTCGAGTCTTCTACTCTCAAACTCTGCACATATATCAGTTTAAAAACAACCACCCACTTATCAAATGTAGGAGCGCACTAGGCACTACAAGCTACTCGTGTTGAGCTACTGTTCGACACCTTCTTTACCAAACTTTTTAGCTGCTACTCTTCAGTGAGATTTTTTTCTTTGCTTCTTTGCATTTAACACCAAATTTCCATGCAGACAAAGCTCCCTGCTAAGCAGACCGGAGAGATCTGTACAAGCAGCCTCCACAAGCCAACTGGCAGCTCACCATTTCACTACCTTGATTACAGTGAGTCAGCCGTCCATCTGAAGATACAGACAACAGGGCTGCATATGCAAGACAGGCTCATTCATGACGTCTTGCAGAAAGGGCTTTGAAATTATGAGTTATCTGTTGCTATGTTAATATGCGCTATTTAGCAAAAACTGGTTCAAAAAAAAAGCGTGCAAAGGTTACAAAGACACTTACGAGGAGCTCCTTCGGCCATCTCAATAGCTGTGATTCCCAAGGACCAAATATCACTCTGCAAAATACACAGGGGCACAGGGTCAGCCTTGCGCTTTGTTCATACAACATACTGCACATAAACAATACTGTGGCTGGTGTTACCCTGTAGTCATAGGTGGAGTCAGGATTCTCATCGCAGGCAATGACCTCAGGTGCCATCCAGTACGGTGTGCCAATAAAGGTATTTCTTCGCCCAACTGTCCTGTCCAACTGGGCGCTGACCCCAAAATCGACTGAAAGTGAAATAAAGAAACGAGAAATAAGAGACAGAAAAGGGTCCGAGACTTGGTCTGCTTTAGTAATGCACACTATCAAAACTAACATACCCAGTTTGACCTCTGCATTCTCTGTTAGCAGAACGTTCTGGCCCTTGATGTCTCTGTGGATAACTTTATGGGCATGGAGGTGAGACAGACCCTGTTCATATAAAAACAAGACAACAAAAAAAAAAAAAAAGATCAGTATGTAACAAGCTCTGCTGCAAACACATTAGTGGCAAAAACAGCAAGTGTGGCCTTGTAGATACCTGCTCTGACAAGCACTAACACAATAGCAGCGTTGAGCAGTTTAATCGGCTTTCTGCGTTATCCACACATCTTTGTGCTGCTCTTAAAAACGTGATAGCATCACAAATGTGCAAAATTACAGTCACACATGAGGCTTAACAGTTGGATTTGAGGTTGTGAAATGGTGTAGTACAACCCTGCGTACTGTATAAAAGCTGTAATTAGTAGCATTCACCTGCCCTGCTACCACAGCTGGCTTTGTTTTCACCTTGACTTTGCCTACGTGTGTGCCTTATCTTGACAAAAAAAATCTGGTAAGGGAGGAATGTACTTCTGTGGGAACCAGCGCATAGGTGATTTTAAGTACTTTCCCAAGTGTTTATTGGTCCATCTGTCTCTTGACAGACTTTGACACTACAAAGTGACAACTGTGCAAGTGACAAAACTTCACTAGTATGTGGAGGAGTGTGGTCTGTCAACCCTTTGGCATTGTGGCTAAACATGGCTTCTTGATTTCTCACCCTTAGGATCTCTCTGCAGATGTAAGCAATCCAGTCCTCCTTTAGAGAGCTGCCCTTAGTGTTTTTCACCAGGTCGGTCACTGACCCCGCCCCACAAAACTCCATCACCAGCTAGGAGGAAACAAACACATCTCACTTAGAACAATTAATGAGGCTTGCATCCATTAAACCATCAGCCCAGACACAGTGGCAGACAGACCCAAAGCTGGTCGTCGTGTCCCGGCGGACTCTTCTTGACAAAGGCACCGTAGTATGTGGCTATGTTGCGGTGGTGGCTGTATTTTTTCAGCATGTTTATTTCAGCTTTGATCTCCTCTTCTTCCTCCTCTGTAACATCCATCACCTTGATGGCAGCCAGCTGGCCCGTCTTCACGTGACGTCCCTGAACAAAAAGCAAGTTGAATCCTTCTAACACTAATCAGTAATATTTTAAGTGAATCTTAGATTCTATCTTCCTGGAACTCTTTGAATTTGGTCCATTAAGTGTGGCTAATTGCTTCTTCACATCATTTTCCTGTTCTTAATTTACATTTCCTTTTACTAGAGTGCCTTATCTTCCCGTCACTGCCATTTGAAATTTAACAGCCTGATAGCTGAAATTTTCACTGACATGACAGTGGGCTAAATTTGCTTTAATCTAAGAAGTTAATGTACAGAACGTTTAAAGAACAGACACTGAAGGAGGCTGTGCAGCAACAATCCAAAATGCTCACTCAATGCACAAGTGATAATTCAGGCACTGAATTTTTTATTCTCCATTAGAATTTGTGCATTACTCATATGTCACAAGGGCATCATGGCTCACCTTGTACACCTGTCCATATGTGCCATTGCCAACGACCTCGACCAGCTCGAAGATTCCTGCTGGATCCTAGTGGAGACAGCAGCAGTTTAAAATGACTTACAGTAGACAGGCAGAGCAATTAAGATCATCATTTAATCCACATCAGCTTGGCATACTAAAGACAGACAAAGCATTTCAACAAAAACAAACCTAATTCACTTTTCTTTTTCAACATTTGGGAAAAGGCAAAATTACAATGACTGCACTCAAAGCTCACCACATTTATTTTTGTTTTTAAGTGGGTGATGCTTGCTTTGTTCTTCTTTGAATCCTCCACATTTACACTTCAATGCTGACCCCAAGTGCAGGTTGTATTTCATGCTGCTGCGCTCATAATTCTTGGGTAAAGGCTAACCCTTAAATACTAGCACCCTGCTAAACCTCACCTGTTCTTGAAACAGCCGCAATCAACCAGCGGTTATATTAGCACGAAGGCTAAATTAACACGAGACGGAAAACAAAACAATGCTGAGGCCCCGCTGAAGACAAAGAAAGCTCTGTGTAATTGTTTTTTTTATGACTGCAATTTCAGAAGTTGTGTACTATCATTAGATGTAAGCGTAGCTACAGATCTGTACCCCTTAAGAACAGTGTCATAAAACCACGTAAAGCACATGGGCTTGTGCAGAACAGAGACCACAGACAAAAACAAATAACAGCAATCCCAGTGGCTTCTACTGTGTACACTGGAGACAATATCACAATTACATATTTCCATACAAATGATCTAAACTCAGTGTTCTCTGCCACCCACAAAACTTTACACGGAGGAAGCAGACACTCAGAGACACTAAATATTGATACTAGATTAGATATACAAAGACAGATTCTGACAATACTGACATAAAACTTCTGCCTTTTTTCTTCATCTGTTCATTCTGTGTTTCAGTACCACGAACACATATTTCACTGACACTAATAATGAGTAGGTTGCTTAGACTCAATTATGCAACCCCCTCCCCCCCAAGAGACAAGGGAAATGACAAGCAGTTCCACTTTCATGCAATTTCAATATGGCTTTAAGAAGATGTGTGGGTGGTGAGACTGCCGCTTTGGGTTTAGATTGTACACCATGACCTATCCCTGCTTTCATCCATTTCCAATGATGGGGTTTTTACGCCTTCAACAGGGAGGAGAAGATTTTCCTTTAGGACAAGGAATTACGATAAAGAACAGCATGATTGGGAAAACTTGGCAGTATGTCGGGGAAATAGAGGACAGAAAAGTGGGGAAATGGTAACACAAAACAGGAGGGGAGGCAACAATGTAACGTTTGAGTGGGTGGCGAGGCAGAGACGGCATCTTCACCCACTTAAGCACAGAGTGAGATGAGAGGAAAGATATGATGGAAGGGGAAGGGTACAGTGATGTTCAAAGAGTAGCACCACCAGCAAGAAGTCAATTAAAGTGTCTGCAGTGAACGCCAAACAAGCAAGGTGTCAGTAAAGCTAGGCTAGAAGGGGGAGGTTGTAACCATGTGGCTGTACCCATGTACAAGGAGGGGAACCTCAGTGACTAACGCACATTATTGGGCCAAATAGTCAAGATGGTAAGCTAGGTTTAACAGTATGCACTGTAAAATATAGTGGTGATGGTTAAAGAGGAAGGAAAACTATTTCCTGCAATGTCAACACCGCTAAGAGGGGATGTCTTTCTAAGAAAAGAAAAAGATGTGGTTACAGACCTGCAGCAATCATCAAAATCAAAACTCATCGCGTGCCTTCAGGGAACAATTTTACTGTTATTAAATTGGAATGTACATCAAATGTGTGTAAAATAAAAATAACAAGAATTACAGGAAATGGCTATAGATTTGTTTTAACCTTTTCAGAAAGTGCAAATCAAGCATTCCAGAGCTTTTATTAATATTACAGCTATTTTACTCCTTCACATTTTCACCTAACTGACAATTGAGTCTTGCACGGCTTATTTTAATTTAGTCTATTGTTGTATTGTTATCGTTCTAAAGTCTTTTCTTCATTTTCGGGAAGCACACTGTAACATTGGGTTCGATAAGTCCTATACAAATAAACTTTATTATTCTCATTGTTGTTGGTGGCTAAGATGATTGACTTTTTGACTGTAGCAATGTAACAAAATACCTCAATTTCATTTGCAATTTCTACATATTGGCTAGTGGCTGCTGCTCAGGAGGCTGAGCAGGTCATCTACTAAGGGGAAGGTTGGTGGTTTGATTCTTGGCTGCTCCAGTCCGCATGCCAAATCGTGCCTTAGCCAAGATGCTAACCCCAAGTTCCGCTCCAATGCATCCAGCAGAGTGTGAGTGTTGGATAGAAAACACTTAAAAAACATAGAATAAAGTGTTTGTATGAATTTGTGTGAATGTTGGCAAGCGGTATAAATTGCTTTGAGTGCTCAGGCAGAGTAGAAAAGCCCTACATAAGAACCAGTCCATTGGCAATGTAAGTGTTTCTGCATAAATAATTTGTTGATGCCTGTTTGCAGTGAACTGTTGTTATGTAATGCTGGGCCTCTTCTGTACTGTGTAGCAAATTTCTGGAAAAATGCTGTGATTGAGCCACTGATTTTTTTTCAAAGCCCATTTAATAATTTCAAAATCTAAGAGTGAGGTCCCCTTTTGTTTGTTTTTCGCAGCCTCAAGTACAAAACCCACAAATATGCGCAGATGTGGATGACGCAGTTCACTGTCCTGCCAATAGTTATCACGTTTTTCAAGGAGTGATGGTAACACCAGAGATATGCTGTAATGCGAGGCAGGTAATGAGGAGTATGCTAGCCAGTAAAAAACTGATGCAAAAATATTGAATTAAACACACCCTGAAAAACCTTTATTGGGGAGGAAAACATGACTGTTAAAGCTCAAGAATAAATAAACATGCTGTCATAATCTGACGCATACGTCTATGTTTTTGTGATTGTATGCATCTACTTTAGTTTTTTGTTGTGAGTTTTATACAGTAAGTGGCACTTAATGTCTGTTCAGTATGTTACATGGCTCTGTTAATGTTGATCAGTGCTATCAACCTGCCACGGATTGCAGAGGAAAATTAGCTTATACAGCTAAATCTGGCATATTTACATTAAATGGCTCTCACGCTCATGTTTACAATAGTGCAATGTCCCTTTTGGATAAATTTAAATATATGAGTGATGGTGAGTTACAGTGACAGTAAACAAAATATCTGTTTACAATAAAATTTTAAACTGTCATTTGAGAAAACTACAAAAACAATTCGACACTTATTTATTCTGGTGGTTTATCATGTAGATTTTGGTGGTGAAACTTCTAAGATGTGAAAAACAATTAGGTAAATTAATATTATTTACCCTGTTTAAACACACCAGTAACTTAACCTTAGCAAAATAAATGTCTAGTCATTGACGTGCTTAATCACTATTCCCTAGTGCAGCATTAAGTATAAATTCTCTAAGATGCATCTTTACTGGTTCTTTTTCACTCATTAATCAATAGTAGCAGAGCTGTCATGCAACAATTTGGGGTCAGTGTATTGCCCAAGGAAATGTAGCACGGGATCAAACAACCAACCCTGCATTTAATGGACAACCTGCTCTATCACCTGAGCCACAGCCATCACACGGTCAGTTTTCTTCAGTGCAATACCCAGCCATAGATAGAATCACAAACAAACTACTATTTATTTCCACATCTCAGGCGTGGTGGGCAACAAACCCTGGGCCATTTTTTGCACCTACCCAACTGTTCTTATAAGCAAACTGCTACTTAAAT